TTGAACCCAGGAGGCAGAGTTTGTGGTGAACCAAGATGACACTATAGAACTCCAGCCTGGGCAACAGAGTGAAACTGTCTCAGAAAAAAAAAAAAAAAAAAATGGTGGTACGATACATAAAGCACAAAATTTGCCATCTCCATCTCTTTTTTATTAAGCAACTGGGTCTCACTATGTTACCTAGGCTGGCCTTGAACTCCTGGACTGAAGGGATCATCCCGCCTCAGCCTTCCGAGTAGCTGGGATGACAGGCACTCGCCACTGTGCCTGGTTTCTGTTTAATTTTTCGAGGAACCACCATAGTGTTTTCTGGCTTCATGCTTTGGCTCCACTTTCTTCTAGGTTGGCTCCACTCTCTGCCAAGTTCCTTTATCTGGGTATATTCCCTGCCTCCAACCACACTGTGCTGTGATAGTTAATTTTAGGTGTGAACTTGGCTGGATTAGAAAATACCCAGATTTGAGCTGTGATGTAAAAATAAGACAAAGAAAAAGAAAAACAGTGGCTGGGCTCAGTGGCTCACACCTACAATCAGCATTTTGGGAGGCCGAGGTGGGCAGATGGCTTGAGCTTGAGTTTGATCGAGACAAGCCTGGGCAACATGTGGAAAGCTTGTCTCAACCAAAAATATGAAAATTAGCAGGGTGTGGTGGTCACGCACATGTTGTCCCAGCTACTCAGGAGGATGAAGTGAGAGGGTCACTTTAGCCCAACAGGGGCAGTGAGCTTAGATCACACTACCGTGCTCCAGCCTGGGTGACAGAGCAACACCTTCTCTGATAAAGCATTACTTCTGGGTGAGCGTCATCCAATCTGCAGGGCTCCGATAGAACAGAAACAGGAGAGAAAGGATTTTCCTCCCCAGAGCTGGGACACCCTCCTCCTCCTGTCTTGACAAGACTTATACTAGTGATCCCTGGTTCTCAGGCCTTCGACCTTGGACTTGGAATTACACCATTGGTGTCCCTGGCTCTGAAGCTTTAGGATTCAGACGAAACCTCGCTACTGGTTTTCCAGGGTCTCCAGCTACTGGAGCTACTGGCTTTAGGGTCTGCAATGTGTGTGGTAGGACATCTCAGCCTCCATGATCACATGAGCCAATTATCCTAATAAATCCCCTCTCATCTACCTGCCTCCTATTAGCTTTCTTTGGAGAAACCTAACAATACACACATCATACGTTTTCCTGGCTCTCTCTCTTTTTTTTTTTTTTTTGAGATGGAGTCTCCCTCTGTCGCCCAGGCTGGAGTGCAGTGGTGCGATCTCAGCTCACTGCAAACTCCGCCTCCCAGGCTCACACCATTCTCCTGCCTCAGCCTCCTGAGTAGCTGTGACCACAGGTGCCAGCCACCATCTCCAGCTAATTTTTTTTTTTTTTTTTTGTATTTTTTAGTAGAGACAGGGTTTCACTGCGTTAGCCAGGATGGTCTTGATCTCCTGACCTCATGATCTGTCTGCCTTGGCTTCCCAAAGTACTGGGATTACAGTCATGAGCCACCGCGTCCAGCCACATTTTCCTGGCTTTAAGATGAGAAGTCTTCTCTTTTTTTGAGACAAGAGTCTTGCTCTGTCACCCAGGCTGGAGTGCAGTGGCATGATCTCAGCTGACTGCAACCTCTGCCTCTCAGATTTAAGCGATTCTCCCGCCTCAGCCTCCCGAATAGCTGGGATTACAGGCGCCCGCCACCATGCCCGGCTAATTTTTGTATTTTTAGTAGAGATGGGGTTTCACCATCTTGGCCAGGCTGTTCTTGAACTCTTGAACTGTTGCCACCCACCTCTGCCTCCCATAAGTGCTGGGATTACAGGGCCATAGAAGTCTTTTCTTCCTCCTAAGTCTCAGGCCTGGAGCTCACTGACTCTGACCAACCTGATTATGATCATTTACTCATTGTAAATCATTGAGTCAATCATTCTGGTCAAAGTATGGGTCTAGTTTGGGAGTCAGGCAGTGGGGACCTGCCATCTGGACAACACTTTGATGAAGGGAGAGGAATGGTTCCCCAACGACTGTGGTCATCCCAGTGTCCATCCCAGAGTGGTAACCAATGTCCACCCTGGGGGGAGTAAGAAGGGAACAGGCATATGACAAAAAGCTTTCAAGAGGGAAGTTAACTGGATGTGATTGGGAGGGCCGGTGGAATCTTTCAAGATGAGGAAGACAATGAATAGAGAGGTTGTAAGGACAGCAGAGTCACTGAGAGCGACAGGACCTGTCTAGACAGAGGGATTGCAAGAGGGGGATGACCTCAATCTTCAACCAATGAGCGGGAGGGAGGGAAGAGAGAAGAAGGAACAGCCAGTTGACAGATGGTGTCACTAAGGCAAGGAGGGGAGAATGGTGTTGTATATAGGGTTTGTGACCACTGAGTGGTGGAAGGGCAAGGGCAGAGGTGGGAGGTTGGGTCAAGATAGCAGTTCAGTAAGACAGGGCAGATGGCATCTTGCGTCTTCCATCCTTTATGGTGACCAAGGACTAGGAGCCTGATAGATGGGGTTTATTGGAAGGTTGGCTTGAAAACTTTTTACTTAAAAAAAATTTTTTTTCTTTTTTTTTCTTAGACACAGTCTCGATGTCACCCAGGCTGGAATGGGGGGTGGCTCAATCTCGGCTCACTGCAACCTCTACCTCCCAGGTTCAAGCAATTCTCATGCCTCGGCCTACCGAGTAGCTGGAATTACAGGCGCTGGCCATCATGCCCAGCTAATTTTTGTACTTTTAGTGGAGACAGAGTTTTATCATGTTGGCCAGGGTGGTCTTGAACTCCTGACCTCAAGTGATCCACCAGTCTTAGCCTCCCAAAGTGCTGGGATTACAAGTATGAGCCACGGTACCCGGCCTTCTTTCTGTTTTTATTCTTGAAAACTTTTTTTTTTTTTTAAATGTAGAGATGGGGCTGGGTGCAGGTAGCTCACACCTGTAATCCCAGCACGTTGGGAGACCAAGGTGGGTGGATAACTTGAGGTCAGGAGTTTGAGACCAGCCTGGCCAACATGAAACCCAGTCTCTACTAAAAATACAAAAACTAGCTGGGCATGGTATTGTACGCCTGCAATTCCAGTGACTTGGGAGGCTGAGGCAGAATTGCTTAAACCCAGGAAGTGGAGGTTGCAGTAAGCTGAGATCGTATCATTGCACTCCAGCTGGGGCTACAGAACAAGACTCCATCTCATAAATGATTAGAATAGAATAGAATAGAATAGAATAGAATAGAATAGAACAGAACAGAACAGAACAGAACAAAATAGGAGATGGGGTCTCACTATGTTGCCCAGACTGGCCTTGATCTCCTGGGCTCAAGCAATCCCCCTGCCTCAGCCTCCCAAAGTATAAGATTACAGGTGTGAGTCACCGTGCCTGGTGAAGACAGCACTTTTAAGGAAGTTCTGGTTGGATGGGGCACCAGTTCAAGACGTAACGATCACAACCATTACTGTTTTTGAAGCTTCAACTCCATGTCAGGTACTGAAGCAACCCCTTGATGTTGAATTAACTCCAAATCAGTCCTCCTCCAAACCAAACCCTAGGTTTGGGTTTGACCCAAAGACTGTGCTTGTCATCATGATCCTTTCCACCCTTTACTGTGTTTGGGGACCCTGGGGCAAGAAACGCCTTAGCGGAATGAGATCTTCAAAAGCATTTTAAGTAACCTTGGGCTCTCTGGAGTTCGGAGTCAGAAAACTAGTAACCATCCTCATTCTGCCACTTGGCAGCGCTGTTAGTTCAAACAAGTCACTACCCGCATTGACCTGTTCCGAAAAAAGTCAGTCTAGGCTTTGTTATTAACATTCATTATCACACTGACCTTGAACAATTTAAACTTACTTTAATCATTTTTTTGGTTTCGTTTTTGTTTTTTTGAGACAGGGTTTCTGTCGCCTAGGCTAGAGAGCAGTGGCCCAATCTCAGTTCACTGCAGTCTCAACCTCTTGGGCTCATATGATCCTCCCACCTCAGCCTCCTGAGCAGCTGGGACTACCGGTGTGTACCACCATGCCCAGACATTTTAACCAATTTTATCTTAATGCATGCCCCAATCATCTTACCAAACCTTTCTTCAGTTTTTAGCTCTATTTGTGAGACAGATCTGAGGCATAGGAGACGAAATTAAAAAGCCTTGTGCGAATAATTTATCAATTTATGTGAAAAACAAGAATACAATTATGCATCTCTGAAAATAAAACTTTGTAGAGTTGGCCAGGTGCAGTGGCTCACACTTGTAATCCCAGCACTTTGGGAGGCCAAGGCGGACAGATCACCTGAGGTTGGGAGTTTGAGACCAGCCTGACCAACATGGAGAAACCCCATCTCTACTAAAAATACAAAATTAGCCGGACGTGGTGGCGCATGCCTGTAATCCCAGCTACTCGAGAGGCTGAGGCAGGAGAATCGCTTGAACCTGGGAGGCAGAGGTTGCAGTGAACCGACATCGTGCCATTACACTCTAGCCTGGGCAACAAGAGCAAAACTCGGTCTCAAAAAAAAAAAACTCTGTAGAGTTACACAAAAAATTGTACAATGGCTGCTAAGAGGGAGAGAACTGGGTGTCTGAGGAAGACTTTGTGCTCTCATGTCTTTGGCACATTTGACGTATCATGTGACTATGCTACCTATTAAAAATCCACAGTAAAATGTAAATAAAATAGCAGAGGGTACAGTATGCACTCTTTTTTGAGACAGGGTCTAGCTGTGTCATCCAGGCTGAAGTGCAGTGACTCCATCATGGCTCACTGCAGCCTGGACCTCCACAGCTCATGCGATCCTCCCACCTCCTCCTTCCAAGTAGATGGGACTATGGGCACAGGCCATCACGCTCTGCTAATTTTTGTAGAAACTGGGTTTTGCCATGTTGCTCAAGCCGGCCTCAAACTCCTGGGCTTAAGGGATCCTCCAGCCTCAGCCTCCCAAAGTGCAGGGATTACAGGCATGAGCCACCATGCCCGGCCAGGCACTCATTTTTGTAATTGTTGCGGGAAACACAGGACCAGAGAGACCAACGTGGGAAACAGGAGGATTTATTTAGGTGTACACCAGCTCAGTGGATTCATGTCTGAAAAGCTGAGCATTGAACAAAAACTGAGTGTGGTTTTTATAGGCAAACTTACACAAGCAAAACAAAAGCAGTTAATGATACAGTGACAGGTCATGTAATCTACAGCATAACTGTTGACTTATCATAACTTGTGGCTTTGCACAGCTGTTGGCCTTGCAGCTGCATCGAAAGGAAAACAGAATCTACAAATCTTACTAAATACAAGCATTGGCAAACACAGTCATAACTAATGGTTCAGAGAAGGAGAGACAGTAAAGGAATTTGTTTTTCTTTTCAACTTTGCTCCGGAGGAGGGTGTCTGGAGCCCATTCCTTTGGCCTCGACTTTTCAGTGCTATCTTATAAGCATTCAAGGACACCACACTTTTAAGGACAAGGCACTCGGTCACGGGCGCCTTTACTGATGTGAGCTGGCTAAGCAGAGGAAAACTTGTTCTGCTTTTCTTTTTAACCCTTGCCTTGCCACATAATCACATCTTTACACTTCAGTTTTTTTTTTTTTTTTGGAGATAGGGAGTTGGAGTCTCGCTCTATTGCCCAGGCTGGAGTGCAGTGGTGCCATCTCAGCTCACTGTAACCTCTGCCTCCCAGGTTCAAAGTGATTCAAGCCATTCTTGTGCCTCTGCCTCCTGAGTAGCTAGGACTGTAGGCGCACACCACCACACCGGGCTAATTTTTTTTTTTTTTGAGGCCGAGTCTCACTCTATTGCCCAGGCTGGAGTGCAATGGTACAATCTCAGCTCACTGCAACCTCTGCCTCCTGGGTTCAAGCGATTCTCCTGCCTCACCCTCCCAATTAGCTGGGATTACAGGCGCCTGCCACCACACTCAGTTAATTTTCGTATTTTTAGTGGAGACGGTGTTTCACAATGTTGGCCAGGCTGGTCTTGAACTTCTGACCTCAAGTGATCCGCCCACCTCCGCCTCCCAAAGTGCTGGGATTACAAGCGTGAGCCACCACGCCCAGCCAGGAAACCCACTTTCAACACCTCCTTGCTTTTCTTTTTTTTTTCAGACAGAGTCTCGCTCTGTTGCCCAGGCTGGAGTGCACCCACTGCAAGCTCCGCGTCCCTGGTTCACGCCATTCTGCTGCCTCAGCCTCCCGGGTAGCTCGGACTAATGGCGCCCGCCACCACGCCCGGCTAATTTTTTGTGTTTTCAGTAGAGACAGGGTTTCACCGTGTTAGCCAGGACGGTCTTGATCTCCTGACGTCGTGATCCGCCTGCCTCCGCCTCCCAAAGTGCTGGGATTACAAGGGTGAGCCACCGCGCCCGGCCTTCCTTGCTCTTCTTGCTCCAAATCCTGGGAACATTTGAATCAACAGGCGGGCATCTGTCAAACCTCCCTAGCAACTAAGCCTGCGGATGGCCAACCCGACCCTGGCAGAGCGTGGGGTTTAGTTTAAGCACAGACTGCACATCGGGGACCTCATAAGGCGCCTGGGAGCATTCAAGGACACCACGCTTTTAAGGACAAGGCACTCGATCACGGGCGCCTTTACTTCGGAGCTCCGCGCTGTTGCTGGCCGAGCGTATGTAGAGTCCCAGCCCCAACTTTCCCAGGAACTGGCCGTGAGCCCTCTAGTGTGATATTTTTTGGCCTGGGCCTCAGTTTCTCCATCTGTCAATCGGGAAAGGGGAAAGCGGGCTGGAGAATCCCGACCAGGTCGGCTGTAGCCTTCGGAAGCTACGGCCCGGGGAGGCTACACCAAGGCAGGTCCGTGGGACGAAAGAACGCGCGCGCACATTGGCGCCGGTCCCGGGATGAAGGGACAGCAACGAGGAGACACTGGACCTGGCCGTTCCTCGCACGCATCTCTGACCTTCTGTGCCTCTCAAGAGAGATGCGGGAAGCATAGCCACCTCCACTGTAGCACGAAAGTCTCCGGCCCACATACCACCACTAAGAAGGTACACATGCGTCAAAGCCTCTCAGAGCCATTTCCGCTAACGTACTCAGGGCAACGGGCGTAAGATGGCGGACGCGCAGGCGCGAAATGCCGCAGCCGTGGGGAGGCTCCGCCTCTCACGCTTGCCTTGCATCACGTGGTAATGGCCGCTCAAAAACCGCCTTAGCAAAAACCAGAGCGTGACCTCGTCACGTGATGGAGGACTCCCAATACGGCAAAGGGAAGGCGCCAAAAGTTCTTGTCAGATGGCGAAGGAAACTGCGAAATTCGCCACTGTCACATGATAGAGTAACCTATCGAAAGCGGAGGGAAAGGTGCCGAAGTCACGTGACTATGCACGCAAACACTGAGGCTTGTCCCACGTGATAACGCATGCCCGCCCCAAGACCCCCCCATGTCTTTTCGCTCCTCCCTCCCATTTGGGTTGGGCCTGCGTCGAGGCGCAACGCGGCGTCAAAGGGGGGCGGGGCTTCAGCTGATCACGTGTTCCCGCACCTCCCCGGCGCGCGCCTGCCCGCCCGCCCGCTCGCCCCCGGTCCGGACTCCTCCTCCTCCTCTTCTCGCCATTGCAGTTGGACCCAGCAGCCCGGCGCGCACCGCGTGGCTTTTTGGGGGAGACCCCGGCGGGCTGTGGCAGGAGGGCGGCGGCGGCGGCTGCGGTCGAAGAAGGGGACGCCGACAAGGTAAGCGTCAATGTGGCGGCGGCCGGGCCCGCTCCCGCCTCTGCCCCCCCCCCGCCCGCCTTCCTCACCGAGGTCCCCACCGAGGGTTCGCGGTGACAAGGCTGGAGGGGTCCCGCGCTCGCCGCCTCCGCCCGGTCCCCTCATCCCGGCGGCTGACCGGTTCCTCCCTTGCCGGCCTCGCTCCCGCGCTCGGCCGTTAACTCTCCTCCATTGTGCGGAGGAAACAAAATGGCGGCGACGGCGGCGGCGAGGACTCGGTGCGCGCGCAGCCGCTCCCCCCCACACGCGGCCCCTCGGCCGGCGGCGGCGCCACGCGCGGGGGGTGCGCGCGCACCGGGCCCCCGGCCGCCGCCTCCCCGGGGCCGGGCTTTGTCTGTTGCGGCCTCCTGGGGACGCGCGCACGTGCCTGGAGCACACACCCCCTCGGGTCCCGAGCTTCGCGGCGGGGCGACCCCCCTTCCTCACTCCTTACTCCTTTCCTATTTCCTCCTCCTCTTTGTCCCAGTCCCGCCCCCGGTTCCAGGAGAGTCCCAGGTTCCTGAGGCGGGAAACGTTGCCTCCTTTGTCCTCACGGGGCGCGGAGAGGCGGACCCCTCCTTGGAAGCCCCTTCCCACGCGGACAGCAGAGGAAGCCTTTGTGGGTTCGTCGGGTTTCCAAACCTCTAGTCAGCCTGGCCTCTCTCAGATCAGGGTCCAAATTTGGAAGGGTTTTAGCTTTCTTTTTTTTAGTTCATTTGTTTTCATTTTTGAATGTTTTTCCAGATTGTATTTGCCTTCCCTAGAACGGCAGTCTGTTTGGGTGCAAGCTTGGGCCCCGAAACGTGGATGCTTAAAACCCCTTTCTACCTTTATTTTCCCTCGTAGTTGAGCGATTGAGATTCTCGAGGTTACGCAGGAGGTTCTGCCCCAGTTAATCTACCGCCTGGATGAATTATTTGGGGTGTACGGCGGTCTGCATGCTCTCCCCCAGTTCCGTGACCAAATTTGAGGAGAGTAAGGGATCTCTTCTTCACATATCCAACATTGATTGCCAGTTGCTGCTTAGGTGACATGGATCAGCAACGAAGCATCAGTTTCAGTGACATCCTTTTCTGGACTCCGGTAATTCAATGATGCTGAATCTCTTTCAAGATTTTGCTCACTTTAAAATGAGCGGTGTGATGGCATATTTGTGGTCCACATGGAATCGCGAGGTGCCATCCGACGTTAGGATTGAAATTTAGGACTTTTTAAGCTTTCTTTTCCTCAGGTATTTGTAGTTGGGAATCTCCATGGATTGCTCAAAGTGCTGCCACTATGCCTTGTGTTTGATGCTTTGTGTGTGGTCTCGTGGGATGTAGTTACAGCAGCCGCCCAGACTGTGAATGAAGTATGGGAACCAGGGCCTCATTCACAGCTGGAAAGCAGGGGGAGGCCGCAGGACACTTGCAGGTGCTCCTCTCCCTGTTCTGTGGTGCCGGGGCCCCTTGCCTATGTGAGTGGCTCGTGGTCCCTGGGATTTGTGAATGGAATCTGCAGGCCCCAGTGTTTGGAATATTCTTTAGTTCAGATTGGAGGCTGGCCATGAGTGCCAGGCTTGGCCTTGCCCCCACTGGGCGCTATTTATCAGTCTCCCTATCTTCCTGGAGCTCAGCCGCCTCTTCCTGGAGCTGAGAGGTGCCTAATTGTTTGTGGTTTTTCTGATTGAACTTGTTTGGTGCCTCTAGGCAAAAATTCCTTTGGCTCCTTCTAGTATTTGCAGAGTCTTGAAGGCCCATATTCCTGAGCATGAGGAATCTAAGTCTGTTTCTTATTTTTCCTAAATTCTTCATGTTAAATACCACATTGACAAAGGACAGCTACTAATACTTTGATCACACAGACATATACGGTGCTCCCTGGTTAAGGCCTCCAGGTAGGGGACAGGTAGAGACAGTGATGGGGAAGAAGCCTTCCCTAAGTCCCTTTCCTTTGGGTACACAGTAGACTACCCTTTTCTTCTTCAGGCTGTAGCAAGATGTGGGGGTTAGAAGTCTTCTGGGAAAAGCCTTTAGTCGTTTTCTTTGGGCTGGGGCCTCTTATGGACTGTTTTCACCCTCTTTGTCGGTTTCTTTTGATTACCTTTCATGGCTCCAGAGGAGTGATTCCTTTCCCCATTTATACCTCTTGGACTTGCCATCCTGCTACATTTTGTCAGCAAGTTAATTCACCTTGTGCAGTTTTGAAAGATATGTGTTAACATTTAGTATTGTGTAAGTGTTAACGTTTAGTATTAGCCCAGGAAATTGTGACCTTTTATTTGAATCTTGCTGTGATTGAACCTTTGCAGGAACTAGGATTTTCTAGGGTTTGTGTTTGTTTGTTTGTTTTGTTTTGTTTTGAGTCAGAGTTTAGCTCTTGTTGCCCAGGCTGGAGTGCAGTGGTGCGATCTCGGCTCACCGCAACCTCCACCTCCCGAGTTCAAGCGATTCTCCTGCCTCAGCCTCCTGAGTAGCTGGGATTACAGGCATGCTCCACTACACCCAGCTAATTTTGTATTTTTGGTAAGACGGGGCTTCTCCATGTTGATCAGGCTGGTCTGGAACTCCCGACCTCAGGTGATCCACCACCCGCCTCCCAAAGTGGTGGGATTACAGGTGTGAGCCGCCACTCCCAGCCTCCTAGGTTCTGTTTATTGGATGCTTTTTATGTTAACTAAGTTCTAGCAGAGAAAGATTTGATTTGTTTCCATCAGGAAGTTTGGAATCTGAGGCAGATAGTGGTTTGAGTGGCATCTTTGCACAATGAATGAGTAAAGAGATTTGGGGCCTGGGAGGCATGAGGCAAACTTTAGTTTACTGCTGAAGCATATGTCCATTTTATCTGAAACAAGTAGGTTTCCCATCTGTATGATTATACAGAGTAAGCTGGTGTGGAAATAATTGTGAAAGTAGGGTAGGCAGGTGGGTGGTGGTTGGAGGCCTCATTGGCGTGCTGATTTTTAAGAAATTTTTATGATATTTATGATCTCAAAATCCTTGTGAAACTTTTCCCTGAGAACAATTCACAGGTGATTCCATTATAAATAGCAATAATAGCCAGGTGCGGTGGCTCACGCCTGTAATCCCAGCACTTTGGGAGGCTGAGGTGGGCGGATCATGAGGTCAGGAGTTTGAGACAATCTTGGCCAACATGGTGAAACCCCGTCTCCATCTCTACTAAAAAAAAGAAAAAAAAAACAACAAAATTTTCTGGGTACGGTGGCACACACCTGCAGTCCCAGCTACTCGGGAGGCTGAGGCAGGAGAATCGCTTGTACCTAGGAGGCGGAGGTTGCAGTGAGCTGAGATGGTGCCACTGCACTCCAGCCTGTGTGATGGAGCAAGACTCCGTCTCAAAAAAATAAAAAATAGCAATTGGAAATTCAGATACATTTAGCATCAGCTGTGTTTAGGCGTTTTGTAAAAGTGGTGTCCAGTTAAAATTTAATTTTTTTTTTGAGACAGGGTCTTGCTCTGTCACCCAGGCTGGAGTGCAGTTGCGTGATCTCCACTCACTGCAACCTCCGCCTCCCAGGCTCAAGAAGCAATCCTCCCACCTCAGCCTCCCAAGTAGCTGGGATCACAGGCACATGCCACCACACCCGGCTAATTTTTTGAATTTTTTGTAGAGACAGGGTCTTTCCACGTTGCCCAGGCTGGCCTCAAAACTCTTGTGCTCAAGCAGTCTGCCCACCTTGGCCTCCCAAAAAGCTGGAATTACAGGAGTGAGCCATCGCTCCTGGCCAGAATTTAATTTTTTTTTTCTTCTCATTAAATGTTTACGTAGTGAAGAAATTGAAAATGTAGCTACTAGTTTATTATTATTTTTAAGCTTTTAAACCAATTTTATTTTTTTTGTAGAGACGGGGTCTTACTATGTAGCCCAGGCTGGTCTCAAATTCCTGGGCTCAAGTGATCCTCCTGCCGCTCTCTGAAAGTGCTGGGATTACAGATGTGAGCCGCCTTGCCCAGTGGCACTCATTTTAAGACAAAAATATGTTTATTGTCTGAGGGCCATTCTCTTGTGGAATATGTGATCACCATGGATCATTTAGTCACAAAGTTGAATGTGTATTACAGTATGTAAATTTGCTCCAAATTATTATTATTTTTGTGCCGGAGTCTGCTCTGTCACCCAGGCTGGAGTGCAGTGGCGCCATCTCGGCTTACTGTAAGCTCCGCCTCCCGGGTTCACGCCATTCTCCACCCTGAGCCTTTCGAGTAGCTTGGGACTACAGGCGCCCGCCATCACACCCAGCTAATTGTGTTTTTAGTAGAGACGGGGTTTCACCGTGTTAGCCGGGATGGTCTCCATCTCCTGACCTTGTGATCCGCCTGCCTCAGCCTCCCAAAGTGCTGGGATTTCAGGTGTGAGCCACCGCGCCTGGCCAATTTGCTCCAAATTATTTTTATAATTTCAAGTGATAGTGAGAAGTTCTGCTTGGCAGTGTGAAGTACGTAATTTTCCGTGAACATGTGCCACAGCTGTCCTTACCTTTTTGAGGATTTTGCTTCAAGCTGAAGGTTAAGGTCTTACTTAGATAAAGATAAAAGGTCTTGGAGATGAATTAGTCTTCCAGGCCACTTTTTTTCCTGTTACTTGTCTATAAAACTACTTTCTCATATCAGAGTGGTTTTTTTTTTGTTGTTTTGGAGACGGAGTCTGTCATCCAGGCTGGAGTGCAGTGGGACGATCTCGGCTCACTGCAACCTCTGCCTCCTGGGTTCAAGTGTTTCTCTTGCCTCATTTTTCTTGCCTCAGCCTCCCGAGTAGCTGGGATAACAGGAGCCCACCATCACACGCAGCTAATTTTTTGTATTTTTAGTAGAGATGAGGTTTCATCATTTTGCCCAGGCTGGTCTCAAACTCCTGATCTCAAGTGATCCGCTGCCTCAGTCTCCCAAAGTGCAGGGATTACAGGTGTGAGCCACAGCACCCAGCCTAATTTTTGTATTTTTTTTTTTAAATTTTTGTATTTTTAGTAAAGACTGAGTTTCGCTGTGTTGGCTAGGGTGATCTTGAACTGGCCTCACTCAAGTGATCTGCCTGCCTTGGCCTCTCAGAGTGTTGGAATTACAGATGTGAGCCACTACACCTGGCCTGCAGTTATTTCAAAGTAAAAAGATTTTACTTCATCCTTTGCTACTAAACAGTTCATATGTTTGAATGTAAATATTTAATGTCCATGTGAGAGATGGTCTTTTTTTAAAAAAAAAATCTTAACTGGAAAAATACAGTTCTGGGAAAAGTAAACATTGAAGTATACACTGAGTTAAAGAAAAAAAAAAAAACCAAGGCTTCACTCTGGGAATACATGGGGAAGGATTGCCTCTGCCTCCAGCCAGATATGGGAGGATCTCTCAACCATGCTTACCTCACCCCCTTGCTGCCTGAGAGCATGCTGGAAAGAGGGTTTGATAATTCCCACGTGAAGTCATGTTGAATGTTTTTCTGTGGTGGCAGATTTTAAAGCATTTCTGTTAGTTCATCCAAGAGCAGTTAATGTTTTTCTTTTTTTTTTCTTAAGGACTGGCCCTCACTATGTTGCCCAGGCTGGTCTTGAACTTCTGGGCTCAACGAATCTTCCTGCCTCGGCCTCCCGAGTAACTGGTACTACAGGCATGCACAACTGTACCCAATTTAATCCTCTTCATACGTTGCATTTGTAGTAGTATGTTCACAAAACATTTCCCCATAATGCCACCTTTAATCCTTGCTGTCTGCAGCCCAAGGCAGGTGGTATTTTCATCTTCATTTTTCACCCAGCACCAGAAAGGTAAGTGATTTGCTGTAGGTCCCAAAGCTGCCAGGTTGGAGAGCCCAGGGGCAAATCTCAGGCTTCTAACTCTAGGACTGTGGGCACTGCACAACACTAGTGAGCCTGGAGTCCTGGGTCTCCAGAAACATTTGAGGAACAACTTGGTTTTTTTTTGTTTTTTTGAGACGGAGTCTTGCTCTGTCGCCCAGGCTGGAGTTCAGTGGCTGGATCTCAGCTCACAGCAAGCTCCGCCTCCCTGGTTCACGCCATTCTCCTGCCTCAGCCATTCTGCCTCAGCCTCCCGAGTAACTGGGACTATAGGCGCCCGCCACCTCGCCCGGCT